AAAAGTTAGAAGCCATAATACCAGAGAGGGATACACCAGAAAATCTTATACTTTCTACTATTTGTTAAACCATTTTTCCATATATAAAGAGCAAAATATCTGTAATGCTGACATAAATGCTAATGTGTGGTTCTCATCATGTGTGTCTATACTAGGCATGTTTTGTATATATAAAAAAAGCAAAGTATTTATGACCTACTTTCTTTGTGGTTTCAAAACTGAAGACCCTTCTTGAGTTTCTTCCACTATATTTTGTTGTGCTGTAGGTTTTCATGTAAGCAAAGTTTAAAATAATACATTCATACAAGGAATTGGACTTCAGAGTACTGGTCTGAGGAGGAGGAGGACAAGAAACTCTCTTGTAGAAAGGCTCCTATGAAAAGGACTTTAATAGGCTTCATGAATAGGAAACCTAAATACATATATAACTAGGATAGAAGTTTTGTGGGTCAGAAAACATTTTTGAAAATGTGTATCTGTGTAAAATATATTGTTTCCCTTTTATTTGGTACTGGTACATTTAGTCAGGTGTACATGTTCAGTCCCAGCAACTGAAGAAAGATCAGAAATGTGGAGAAGTGGATAAAGAATTGTAAAGATGAGAGACTGAAAAATGCATCTTACAGTGAAGGGACTGCAATCTCTAACAGATACAGCTTGATCATAGTCTTGAATTTCCATACACAACAAATTTGATAATGGATCAGATAACAGAAAAAGACTTTGTATAAGTGGTACGAAATTCAAGCTAAAAAATCAGATTGGAATTGATAATTGCTTAGCTTTTCTAGAAATCTGAAAAGAGTTACTGCAGGTTGTCCAGTAGCCTGTTCAGGAGCATGCTATTTTTTAATTGTGAGTGTAAGGAATAAATTTGTCATGTCTATTTCTTTTTTTATAGGCGTATTTGTATTGACTCCACTTTTTCCTTTCTTCTAGATCTAGTTGCTTCACAGGAGAATATGGCCTTATGTGTTTAAATGCTTCATGGATTGTATGATGCATACTGAAGCTGTAACTCTGCTTTAGCTTTCCTATGATAGGCGTATGTTGCTAAAAGGCTTTTGTAGAGAAAAGAGGCTTTATTTTTTGGTAACTGATTTTTATTGTTGCCATGCTGTTTTTATCATTTAGGATGGAAGGACTGAAAACTACTTTTATTTACAGTAGCAGAACCAATAAACAGCCATTTATTTCATACAAGTGTACACTATCAAGTTTGGGATGTCGTTTGGATAGAAGACACTTATTTGTGTGCTGATCCACTGACACAATTTATAGATGTAGCAGATACTTAGAAAGTCTGTACTTTGAAGAATATTAAGGTGGTTATTTAAAACTTATTCTGTAGTATGTTGCTGAAGAGAATTTTGTGTTGCTACCTCTTAGTTTTCAGAGATCAACTTTTCAAAAATGCAGTAAGTTCATCAAAATAGTTGTGTTTTCTCAATAATAAAAGGCCACAAATAATAACTTCCATTTTCACGTTCAACTAGCGAAACTTGTATTGCAAAATCTGCCACATTGCTCACTGATAGAAAGCAATTTTTAAAAATGTAGATGGTACTTTAAATATTTCTGACTTTTTCTTAGTGGTAAAGTTTACATAGTTTCATTTTAAATTCTATAGCAAGTTATGTAATGATGGCTTTACAATTAAGGGTATGGGGTGGTCATTTAGTCGTTAGTATTGTCCTATATTTGTCCTGTCCTTTACTGCAGCACTGAACAGAAAAGACTGAAAAATAATTTTTCAATGATTTTTTGCTTTAAAAAGAAGACAAGTTTCTGTTACGATGTGACAAGACTAAATATGCAATTATATGCTTTTTTTGTAGGTGTTAGACTTTATTGAAAATCTCAGTATTTTTTAATATAATGATAAAAGTTATGTTTCTAATAGGGGACATAACAACACTGTATGACTGGCTAGAGAGGGAGAGGAGCACCAGTTGACGAGCAGTTGAGAACTAGCAGCTAAAACATGATGATCGTGGAATTGCATTTGAATGTGTGGAATTGCATCCTGACCTTACATCACTAAAGAGAAATGAACTGTACTCATAAGGCACAAAATGACCTCCAGTAGGTGACCAGGAACAGGACTAAAGAGAATGGAGAAGAGAGCTTGCTGCTCTGTACTTTGTACCATCTATCAGAAAATGTTTTTTTTTCTGTCTTTGCTCAGAGAATTAGTTACTTCTGGAACAAGCAAGGTCTCCAGTTGTGACAGATAAGGCATTTGTGGAGACTGTACCAGGCCACATTGATGCAAAAAGCTAGAGATTTCACAAACCCCGTTATACGGGTGTCAGCTTCAACATACACTTCAAGGAACGCAGGTAGACCCAAGCAGGTAGCAAACAGGACAAATGTACGCATCTAAGACAAGCTCGTGGCCAGGAGCGCCTCTGTCAAGTGTGCCCAGCCATGCTCCCTTCCCTCCTGAAGAATAGGAGGACAGGTAAAGAAGTTGGCATCACATTTCCACACAGAAGTTTTCATAAAGTGTGGAGCATGGCCATGCACGTCACAGCCCCTGGAGAGAACTAGATGTTGGGACCAGAGCTAAATAAAGTAACAAAAGCTGAGGAGAGCTTGTGGTGTGAGGAGTGTCATTCACAAAGACTAAGGCTGTGACTAAGGGGGAATTGGGAAAATCTTCTGAAGGCATAAGAAGGCTTAGGCCAAAGGTGCAGGAGTTTAAAGAGACCCCATTAGATTAAATAATTTTTAATTTTGTCTTTACTTATCTGCTCACTTTGCCCATATCTGTATTTTCCTATGTTCTTTCAGGCCTAAGGTCTTTCTAATTGACTGCAGTGCATGGAGTAGCTTTGGTGCTTGCACATTACACCACGCTAACTTGTAAAGATTGTTCCCAGGAGATGCTTCCCCTTCGTCCTGTTTTCAGGGACACGGGTTCATATTCTCCCAATGCTTACCCTGCAGAGCAGCTCACTTCTGGGTCCTGCAGTCATATGGCCAAAAAAATCCCAACCAACCATCATGAGCATGTTTAAGAAATCTCTGTGGTTTTGCAGGTACTGTGTACAGACCTCCTAAGTATGTAATTTACACCAAAAACAAAACTTTGCACATGTGAGTGGTGGGTTAACGTGAGCCTTGTCCTCTGCTCTAAGCTAGCTGCTTTGTTGAAACTTGTAGGAATGTCGTATCTCATAGGTCCTTACTGTTCTGTTATCTTTCGGTTGAAATTACGAATGGATTCGTATATTATTGAGACACTCCCAGGTGGGCACACAAATATACACACTCAGGGACAATACAGCTCAAGTCCTTGGGAAACTGAACCAAAAAGGACTTCCAGTTCAAATTGAATGAGAGCTGCACAAACTGTAATGGGATTTAGCTGAAACATAATTAGCAATAGGACCTACTTATGCTGATCTTGAAGGCTGGTTCCTAGGGGCAAGGAAATTAACTACTGAAGGACAACTGTGAGGGAGCTTAGCATTACAGCTTATTCACCTTTATTGTGCAAATCCAGCCGAATTACTCCAGCCTATTGATGGGAAGAGATTGTTTCTTTTGTACTCACTAATTTCTAGCTCCAGATGGCAATGTACCTGGGTAACCCATAAACAGACTCATTTTCCATCCTATGCCTCTAACAACTACTGCATTCTCCTTGCTGCCAAGCTATTGCTCTCAAGTGAGAAGTGTTTTCTTCTGCTTTTTTTTCTAGAAGTTGTTGTACCTACAGTTAGTGGCTCTTGCCTCTGTATGTGGTGGAGTCACTAATCTCTGCTGCCAAACTTTGCACCAAGAGCTGGCAGGGGTTTCCTGGCTCAAGATCATGGCTTCCTGCTCTCCGTGCAGACAGGCCTTAGTGGGTGCAACTCAAAATGGGCTGCAGGGCTGGGATTTGTATCAGTGGCATATGTTAAAGGTCTCCTGGTGCATAAGGGTGGACCTTCCTATTTTGGAACATGATGTTCTTAAGGAGTTTTGTATTTGCACTGCTCATTTTGTTAATGGCTTTTACTCTGCTCCATACTTTTTTTATCCCCTTGGAGTTGTAAAATGTAACTGCTTTTAATCCATGTGCCTGTCATCTGTTGTGTGAAGTAGACGTGTATGTAGATGTTAAAAGCCTACAAGAAAAAATGCTGAAGACCATTAAAGCTGATCCTTGCTCTTGTAATCAAAGATAAAGGATCCTTTTTTTTTTAACCCAAAGTCTTGTCTTGTTTCAATGTCATATTGGGTGTTAGTTCTTCCTGAATATTCACTGCAACTGAAAGGAGAGGTTCTAATGTCTCTGCAGCACTTGAACAGCCAGGTTAAATTACTATCCTATGGTCTATCTGTGATTATTTTTAGGAAATCAGGTAATGTAAAAATATAGGTCACTGGCAGTTGTTATTCATAGAGTCTATTACACTACAAGTCTGCAGAATTTATTACTTTCTAGAATTTAGTTTTGTATATAACCACAAAGTGGGCAAATTCACTGGTTTGTGAACTTATTCCGTTTGCAAAGTCTGGTGCCAGTTCACTGAATTCAAAACTGTTTGTTTGGAATGGACAGTACATATGGCCCTACTGCTGTCTCCCTCCTGGGGCCATTTTTTCAGTTATGGAAAGTTCACTTTTCTTATTTCCATATGTTCTCTGTATTATTTATTTTACAATACCAAAATAATATAGTTAGTTGCCACTCAAATATTCTTATCTAAACACTGCTTAAATTTGACTAAAAAATTAATCAAATTGTCCCATGTGGAATTCTTGTTTAAAAAATATTTGGAGTTGTTTCAGGGTGGGGATAGGTGTACAAGTTGTAGCCTACTCAGAAGAACCATTTGACTGAATTAATATTTGTCCTGAATCACCTCAAGCTGTACCCAGTGACTGATTAATCTGATAAAATTGTGCAACTCTTTAGTAGACTGGAGGTTAAAGGTTGTATGAGAGGAGAGAAGACATCTGAGGAGACCACCACTGTGCTCCATTGAACTCGGGATGAGGTTGGGACTTTGGAGCCCACAGAAAAATTGATAGTCTTAAAGACCCCCCTAGATTAGCAATGTCAAATGCCTGGTTTGCAGCCCTATATTTCTTGTAAATTAAACCTATTCCTTTTCTTGTTTGTTTATTCTGTTATTCCAGACTCTTTCTGCAGAAGCCTGCTGCACAAACAAAGGGAAGGATGAGAAGGTCCAGGTATTGTACAATGTGACAAACGTTAGCATGTAGGAAGGTTTCATTTGTTATTATATTCTGATTAAAGAAATTGTCATATCAGTTGACAATAAGGTAGTCAGCTGACCTTACTGCCAGGCAATGAGGAGCTGCTGAAGAAGCTTTCCACATCACTCATTTGTATCTGTACCAATGTTTCTTTCTGTACAAGCTTCCATGGGTAACAATCACTTTGGTACCTACATAGACTCTGTTGGCTTGGGTATCTTGACTCTCCTAAAAGTATGAAACATTTTTAATTAAAAAAAAAATTAACTGATAATAGTTTCAATAAATTGCTATGTTAGACAGCAGTGTAAACACTGTTAGGAAACAATTAGCCATAGAGAAGATGACTGACCTATTGCTTCTCAATTGCATGGACCTTGCTAGAACTTTACCTGTGGCTCCTTGGCAGGAATTGGCTGTGTTAGGCAAAAAGCAGCCAAGTGCGGAGAGGCAGCTCCTCAAAAGGAGTGCACCCAACATCACTGGTGTGCCATAAGACTCAGACACATCTCCTGGTCCTCAGTGGAGTAAGGAAATCTGTAGGAAACTATATGCAGAAATTTCCTCAGATCTGTTCCTAGACATCTGCCAACTTAGTTTTGGGTTTGATTTCCTCTTAGAGCATGGTGCTAATAACACCAAGGTTGTGGGTTCGATCCCCATAGGGGCCATTCACTTAAGAGTTTTACTCAATGATCCTCATGGGCCCCTTCCAACTCGGAATACTCTGTGTGATTTTGTGTGTAACTTTTGGGAGAATGTTGCAATTACCAACCACAGGAGACCTGGGAGTCAAGAAAAGTCTTGGCCTGGGGTATGTCTCAGTATTGCTTCCAGGAATGAGCATGTGCTTGTTTTCTACTTTTTAATACAAAATTGCATATGGCACAATTGTTCTCATAAATTTCAGCATTATTACTTTGTGTCCAGTTAGATCAAATCAGCTGATTCCTTGCTTGGAAATTCAGTGGAATTTCTCTCTGCTACCCTTTATTTCTTTTCAAGATCCCAGCTTCTCTGAAAATGTGATTTGACTTTTCCTTGAGTGATACTTCTCACACACACTATGGAAATCCTTCCCAGTATAACTATTTGAAATGATGTGTGGTGTAACAATTATAATCCTCCAAACTGTTTTTTCTTCAAATTTCTGTACACTCTAAATGCTGAAAGATAGTGACATAGATACTACTTTGAATTGTTTTACTGTGTTGTTTGGAATCATGCTGCTGTGGGCTGCCAATATGTGATAAGAAATACAGTGGGACTAATTTTTATTCCACTTAAAAAAAAAATTGAAGTGGCTAGAGAAAGGTCTTTTGTGATGCATAAACTTTGTAAAAATCAAGGTATAGCCCTTTTGCTGAAGATGCTTTTTAAGAACAGATCTGTAGTATTCTGATCTGAATGCTATAAGGCTGAATTTGGGTTGGTTTGGGGTTTTTTTTTGAAAACTTAAATCTAGAAGTGTTCCATGGCTGGGTATCTTACATTGAACATGTAACATTATAACTACTGAAGTTCTTCAGAGTTAAAATTGAGAAGGAAAAGCAACAAGTCTAATTAAGTCAGTCTGTGGTAACATTATTGCATAAATTAGTGGACATAATACAGCCAGTAAATAACATTGAAAAGAATAAACGTTATGGGAAAGACCATTCTGGACCACTTGTCTATCAAGTTAACATCAGTCAAATCAGGGATTTTGACTTTGATCTGGGATGCCCTTCTTCGTAAGTGTCCTTTTTTATGAAGCCTGTGCCTATCCAGAGCACTCCTGTTGTAGAGGTCTCTGCTGGAAGTGGCTCTTCTGTACTGCAGGTTGGCACTGTCGTACGTGTACGTGGTGGCTCGAGGGTCACGGAGGCTCATGAACACATCTGAGCTGCTGACGTCATTTCGTGTTTCAAGTGGTCTAAGGAGCATGTTTCCATGGGGATCAACCTGTGTCAAGGAAGGAATGTGGATTAGACAAGTTGCTCAGCCAGCCCAAGGTGTATCCCAGATGGACCTTCTGGCTCTGCTACTGAAACACTCCTGCAGTGACAGTTCATGTCTGGTACATCATTCACAAAAGTGAAAAGATACTGAATACACTTTCCTGACTGGTGTGAAATTAGCTAATAAACATCTAAGTACCTTCCATCCTGACCTGGTTTCTTGGTCTGGGACCTTGTAATTCGGTTAGTTATCTCATCCTCTGTGAAATAAGACTTTTTTAATTTTATTTTTAACTTGGATCACAGTCTTTATGAAATTCTGATTTGTAATGTCTGGTGACTGGACACTTGAAGGTTTCATATACACAAGGTGAAAAGAAAATGTTACTGTTTAAACAATTTTATACAGATTTAGTGCTGAAGGTTAATTTCAAAGAGTTTTGTAACAATGGGTTTATGATAGGAAGAGCACGAAGGTACAGTTATTTAAAATGTTCATGATGAAAATTGATTTTGGAAATCATAGCATATCATTAACTTGTTCCTGTGCCTTGTCATAATCCATTTTACTCAATGAAACCCTACATTCATTTGCATTTGTATGTGTTAGTATCAGAAGCAGTTGTTTCAAATATATTTGTCACTTACTTTATTTGTACTGTTATTTAGTCAGGGCACTGTTTTAGGTACCTATGCAATGAACTGGAAACTAGAACCACTATGTACATCTGGTCCAATATTTTATATATATATAAATATATATAAAATATTTTTGTGTTATTGTCTTTCTTATGTATGAATATAATTAACCATGAATGGCAGCATTGCTACAAAGTGTTTACCTTTTCACAAGTCTTTAGTTTTGTACCTGTTTGTAGTAAAACCTCTTTTGAAAATTTTTGTTGTTCCCAGGATGAAGACTTCTGACTTCTTCATAAAGACTTCCTAGATGTTTCAAATTCACAGGTATTTAAACATCCACTGTAGCTTGTATGAGGGAAATACACATCAGAACACAGGCCTCTTAAATGAAACTTCAAAGACTTCACCTCGAGGCTTGAATACTAAATTGGTTTCTGTAAGCTGTGCTGTTTGACCTATCCCAAATATATTACAGTCTAGACCATGTCTGTGGATGCCTTTATATCAAGGAATAAAATAGTAATTATAGACAACATCTGGTGTTGTGAAGCACCAGTGATATGTAATGCTTTGTTTGCACTCTGATCTTTACATTTTTAGTAAGACATAGCAGAGCTAGGAAGTGATATAATAATCTACAGCAGATTTGAAGTATGTTCAAGAAAAATCTCCAAGAAAAACACACAGGGAAACCCAGTCTCTGGGGTTGCCACAGAGGATAGCTGAGAGCCAGAGAAAGCCTTGGTTCCACCTGGCAGTGTGGAAGATGTTCCTTCCCATCGCCAGGAGAAATCTTCATGTAGTTACCAGATTAAGCACCTGCTAACTGAAAACAAAGCAGTGAAAGGGCTATTTGTACAAAAGCCACACAAGAGATCTGTGGGGTAAAAACGTCTTCTAAATGGAGTATAAGTCAGCACAGACAGAAAATGCACTTCTCTGGTTTAGCAACTGATTCTGTTTGTGCTGAAAAGAGCATTCAGTGGGAACACCCCAGTTCCCACCACTGCTTTGGTGGGAAAAAACTCGTATATTCTGGGTTAGAGAGGCCAGCTTGTCACAAATGAGCATGCTATTTTCAAGTATTTACTTGAGATATAGACTACCCAGTTTATACTTTTTAGGTCAAGCCTTCAAATTTAAGCAGAAGGAAGATTTAAACTAGGGTTTCCTGCTTTCCAGAGGACTGCCATAACCATGGGACTATTCATTACTCCAAAGATCTGACATTTTTTTTTCAGTGGAAAAAATAATGATCTCAGAGTTGTCTCTGTGTAGAAAGAGATTTTTTTTTTAATACTCAGAAGTTTTGATAGTCAACCTTTTCATCCCAGTTTTATGAAATAGCTCTTTGAACTGTCTTTGATTACATAAGCTAATGTGTAAGCTAATTGACTTTAGTCTTATAATAGTAGTAACAGTAATGCAAGCATCATTAAGCAGTTATTATGACTTTTCTTTTGACAAGACATCTCTTAACAGCCTACAATCTGAAGTGATTCACAGGGATCTTTCTTAAACTAATATACCCTGACAGTTTATTATGAGGCAAGCAGCGTATGAATTCCTACTCTAAGTGTTCTGAATGAACCTGTTATTTTTAGAATAAGTTTCATTTAAACCATTTTAGGTGAGGTGATTTGTATATATCATGAAACAATTCGGTCTTTGAATTGAAGTCTTAACAATTCACAACAAAAGGCCTTACACTGATCTTGACTAAATTAGCTCAGGGAAGTATAAAGTCTCTTCTTATGTATCTGGTCAAATTCTCTGTGTAATGTGAAGCTTGTGGGAAACAGTTAGTTTCCCACATAATTAAAAACCCTTTCAATATATCTTGAAGTTCACTTTAAAATATTCTTGTACAGCTGAGATTTTGTTACTGAAGCTTAGTAATTCTACAAATTCCTGCAGGAATCTGGAAAATGTACAACTTGTTAAGGGATCCCCAAAAGAGTCTTGTTATTAGTTTTGTCTATTTTTATTTTTGGAATGAATTAACAGCAAATATATGCACAGTAAATGCTGTAAATTTTCTGTCTTAAAATCTTTTCTCCCTTACTTAATACAAGGTTACTGAGGCCTTTCTCTTGGCCCTGTACATGAGAACCAGAGAGTAGGTAGGTACTGCAGTTGTACAGTCTTTGACATATTTGCATCAGATGGCATGACAAAAAATTGGCATGGAAGAGACAAGGCTCTGTCCACTGAGTTTTCTGACCCAGTAGCTGTCTGGCTGCTTGCTTAGGAGTAGAGTATCTCAGTCCCCTGCTTATGGAGGAAGGAAGAGCCGTATCAAGCCTAGAGTACTTTTTCCTTGCTCAGATATGATACATTTATTCTTTCAAATACCACCGTGTTGCTCTTTAACTACGATGCCTTAAATTTTGTTTAAGGCTCAGATGAAAACAAGATTTCTTGCTTAACAGATGTTCTGAGCCTAAATGTGTGTTTGCATGAACACTTTGGTTTGTACAATGCATAAATCTTGCCTAAAGTTGTAGAAAGCCAAAGAACTGATTTTTTTTGGTCTTTTGAACATATAATGAAGAATATGTGAGGAACATGTCAAAGGATCTAGAGCTGATGCTGTGTTAGTCATCTGGTGTAATTATTGAAGTTTATGTATTCTTCAGGTATATGGTGATGCTTCTTGTAAGAACATTCATATCTGTATTGAGAGTGTATCTAAATTGAGTATATAAATTTTTAATTTTCCCTTTGCAGTGGAACTACCTAAAGCCTAAATCAGCACAGGTACATATATATGAATTTTTTAAAGTGTATGATGTGTGCTGAGGAAACATCATAAAAAAAAAAGTAATAATTTTGCTTGTATGTTTACTTAGAAAATGAGTTTTCTGCTGAGGGCCATCAAATTATATTTTTAGTGTAAAACAGTAAAGTAATAAAAAGAAAACCACCCAAAACAACAGTCCTGTGTTGACCACATAAAAAATAGTCAGTCAGCTCTAGGGGAAGAATAGCAGGTTGGCATTCCTTGAAAAAGAATGAGTCTCAAATGTTAAACGCTGTCTGGAATGAGTTTTTACCTACCTATTTTTTTACCTTAACTGTTGGGAGATAAAAGGTAAGAACTTCTGTTTTATCTCAATACAAACCCATCTTCCTCTTAAGATGAAAGATTCAGGGCCATGTTACTCATACAAGCTGTCTTGTTGGAACAAATGCAGTAGTGTTATCACAATCTGATCTGCAAAGATCAGATTATGCTCAGATTATCAGGTTATGCTCAGCAGGGCTATACTTATTCAGGTGGGGATTTACTTGATGTTTGAGCTAGTTGTGTGGTTATGTATTCCCCTTTTTTTTCTCCTTCCAGTAGCCACTCTATTGGAGAATCATGGTTTCCTCAGAACCTGTGGCTGGCCTTTGGCTTTCTATTCTGGGTGCTTTGTGGTTCACAGAAGGTTTGAAAGGAAGGTGTGATGCTGTGCAGACTCAGGGAGCGAGGGACCATCTATCACTTGCCTTGTGTTGTCATTTATGAACCTTATGATGGCTCAGCCCCTTTTCCAGTAACAGTATGATTGCATTCTACCTTTTTCTCATATTTAAGAGAAATCTTCTCTGTAACATTCACACTATCATTGTCTAGGGAAACAGGAGCAGTTGCATGCATGGACTATCTAAATATTTTCTTGCAGGGTGCTTTTGTCCTATTTATCCATAATTACAGTGGTCTCCTCAATGACATCTAGCTTCAACAAATGAGCAAGGACATATAAACAGTCTTTATGCTTTATTCAGAGAAACAGAAATATTGTTTACTACAAATTAATATTTTTTGTATATTAGAAATTAAAATGGCATAAGTTGTGAAACTGGAAAGACACTATTTCCACCTTCTTCAGTCTGTAGAGAAAGGAACAGCCACATAGGAAATAGCAGTTCAGTTTCATTGTTCATCTGGTCTTCTCTATACTGTCAATATCGTGGTCAGTTTGTTGAGTGTTGCTCACACATCTAATGCTTTTGTTATCTGGTGAAGGAATTTTAACTCTTTTACTCATGGGAGTTGCATGTCAGATGGGAATGATTAATATCTTCACCTGGCACAAAGAGATGAAGCACTGTTACATATCATCTATTGGTTAGAAATCTCTGTATGGATAAGTGATGTGGGTCATGAGCAGAAGGGAAAAAATTATCCTATAGCTATATATACTTACAACTGTACTTTTATGCTCCAAAAAAAACTTTCTCCTGCTCTGGTTCAGACATCATAACACCAGTGAAAAATCTCAAAACACAGTGGAGAGGAGATCAAAGCTGTTTTCACATAACCTTACTGTGTCCCACTTCTTCAGCCATGAACATTGTTCCTGCCAAGGACAGAAATACAACTGTCGGACATCAGCATTTCCATGCTGAGTAAAATGAATGTTCACAAACCTGCACTGTACAGGCAGAAAGCAGTCTGTTCACTTAAAGCACTCTCAGCCTCAAAATGGAATTGCTGTCTCAAGTGTAAGCACTTACAAATCCTGGTACAAAGCATGTATGCCTTCTTTTTCTGTCAGAAAAATGCTGGTGTATGCATGTGGTGCTCTGAAAACTTTTGATTCCGTTCCATTCTGAGTACCTGTCTCAGTTAAATCTTTGCCATGTAACATTTAGACAAAAGCTTTTAGTTATGAGTTAGGGCCTTTTGTTAGTTAAACAAACTCTCCAATTATGTAGGAAAAAGAACTTACCGGCACTCTTATCCTTTACATTTTCTCGTCCTTTACTCGGTTCAGTGCACTGGGGCCCATGGGGACAAGGCTGACCTCTGAAGAAGCATTGATTCCCTCTTCATCCTGAATCCGTGCTGTGCTGTTTCTCACCTAGGCTGGGTTATCTCAGGAGCTGTTGAGGTGGCTGGTCAGTTTGTGAGTTTTGTTGGGTTTTTTCCCTTCCTTATTTGCCATAGAAATGCATAGACAGTGTCTGCGTGCAACAATCTGTAACAGGGTGGCTTATCTTCTCTGCTCTGTGGAAGACAGTACTTTGTGGGAGACTTGGAGACTGATGATTGCCTGAACTGATATTGTGCCCCCATTGTAATAAAGCATCTCCTACACAAGGGGACAGGAGGCAAATGCGAGTAAGGACTTTTAATGGGCTCATGAGTTCACTGAGGCTGAGAACATGACAGCTTTGTTAATGATGCTTAGCTGTAGTGGTGTGGCTGCTGGGACACTAGACACACAAATTTAGAACTAATAAGATATCACAGAATTTCTGAAACACACTTCCTGATATGTATGTGAAATTGCAACCATCCATCAAGATACGGTCTTACCTGTTAGAGTTTTATGTGTCGGTCTCATTCTTCCAGCTGAACAGAGGGCTCGAATAAAGTTTTGACCAAATGTTATTGCCTCAGGCCACAACAGTACAGAAGTTTATAGGACAGCCTGGGTAAGATCTCGTTAATACTTGGATGTAATATATTGTAAGAAAAGCAGAGAAAGGAAGAAGATTTTTGGCTCATTAGAATATGTATTTTCCTCTGAGTCAGACTGGGCCAAATACGCCTGAGGCTTTGAAGGGTTTATTTCTGAAAAATTGGGAAAAGTTGAAATAGGTTTATAGCAGTTTGCAAGTGCTCAGTGATGTATTGCAAAATTAAACTTGTCCCTGTAAAAAAAAAAAAAGTCCATAGTATTACTTCCTAGAGCTTTTCTGGCTTATTTTTTTAAGAGAGGGTATTGAGGTCTGCTTGAACTTAGCTGAAAGAAAAATCCTGACATGTGAAAGCTGTTATAACCTAGCAGCGGCTTCCTTGTGTTCCTGGAAACTCTGTCATGTGGGCTTCATTCAGGGCTCACTGAAGCAACAGAGTCTGTCTTTGCTTTTTGTTTTTGATGAAGTTTCTGTGTGTAAAGAGGAACTTTATTATAAACATTTCTTCTATACCACCTTCTATATCAAAGAAATATACAGCTGAAGTAGTAAATATTTAACTTCCTTGTACCCTTGTACCCTTGCATTCCTTCTCTGCTGCAAAGAAATGTGTATCCTGAATACTCATTTGCATTTTATGTGGTTTCTTACTTTGTTTTCAACTGAAGATGGAACAGGCCATACATTGCTGTATTCTCTTAAAATACAATTTTTCTTTAGGCAATTTTAAATGCTTTTGCATGTGTTTCATCTGCATTTATCTCTATCATCATATACATCAACATTGTCACAGTAGAAATAATGATTGAGAAGTTAGCTTGAATGTTTTACCTGGACTCTATTTGTTTCCAGTCTGCTCTTCTCTCCTGGAGCACGTCCTGCCCTGCCTGCTGTCTTTTTTTGATGCTGAGGTCCTTTCCCAAAGAATATGTAGTTTACAAAGGCATATTCCAGCAAGGCCAGGAACACAAACACAAAGCATCCCATCAAGTAAATATCTATTGCCTTGACATAGGGAATCTTTGGCAAGGTCTCCCTGAGGTGGGTGCTGATGGTGGTCATGGTCAGCACAGTTGTGATTCCTGAAAAAAGAAGAAAAAGTCATTGACTAACAAGACAAGGAGGGAGATTTGAGTGTGAAAGGCATAATGGCAGCATTATATTCCCATATAGATGGCTTAATTATGTGATCAGATTCTTAACAGCCAAGGGAATGCATTTTGCAGGACTGGAAAGGAAGATATCCTTGCAGGTCCTCTGATAGCACCTTCCTTGGCCTTCCATGCAATGGAAGGTGAATGAAATAACTTTCAAAAGCCCAGGCTGTCTTGATACAACTTGTCTTAATTTTTACAAAAGCTTGTCTAGGGAACATGGTGTTAGCTGACCTGGATAGCAAAGAGTCGATTGATGTTTTTTCTATGTGAGGAAATGCTTCTCACTTTATTTACATCAGTAGCCTTGCTTGATCCCAGAGGGTGACTTGCATTGATCTGGAGATCTGGAATAAGTATCTAGCTTTTGATTGAAAACAGAGCATTGAAAGGAGAAAAGGAAGCTAGTATATTTCCACTGATGTCAGTAGGATCTTCTGTATACATTTCAATCATGCATCTGGCCTGAGAGGACACTTTTTAACATCTACATGGATTGTTCATGCAGCACGGTGTAGATATCCTTAAATACCTGAATTAGACCTTTGCACTTCAGTTTGGAAGCAAGACACTTTTGTTCTGATCCAGAGACCATTATGACAACTGGAAATCAGTCAGGATCCCAACTTAACTGCAGAGCAAGAGCTTCAGATATAGGCAAGGTGGCACCTGCCTGCCTTCCTGACAATGAAGGTCCTACGCTGTATATGTAAGATCACAATTAATGATGCTGCAATCAGCAATATGGAATTGGTGCCACTGTACTCAAAGGCAACAAGTATTTATGCAGTTCAGTTATTTTGAGAAGTTACCTAGAGCAACTCTGGCTGCAGAGGCATCATAATTGATCCAAAAAGATACCCATGAAAGAATTGTGATTAGCGTGGAAGGCATATAAGTTTGCAAAATGAAGTATCCAATATTTCTTTTAAGCCGGAAGCTAAGTGATAATCGAGGATATGCTCCTGAAAGAAAGAAATCATATAATAAGTAATACCTAACGAAAGTTAGACACTGATATTTCTGGGTTGGGGAAGCGAGGAGAGGGTTTTTTTAACTAGCCAGTGCTTACCTGTTGTAAATTCCACTCTCTTTGATACCATCTTGTAATCAACAATAGAAAATTGCGGGAGCTCAATGTTATTAACTCCTGTTACTGCCGACTCTCCTCCATTCCAGTAAAATTCAATATCGTCAGTAGTGTATCCATCTGAAACAGAGGCAAAATTTGGTTATTGGCTTTTCTTTTTTGTTTTACTATTTTGCTTAAATAGTTAAGGTTCAAGTGGAAGGAACTGTTGTTAACCACAAATTCAGCCTTCTGTTGTGTGACATTCCTGTTATACAGAAGCCATGTAGCCTCCTCCTCCATACCCTGGGGAAGCATCTAGGTGTAAAAAGGGAGAAGACAGAAAACCAGGACAGAATTTAAGATTAAAGATGATTTTTTAGCTAGCGAAAATGCAACAGTTTTCCATTCAGACTTGAGTTGCTCAGTTTGCCAATAGACTGATACAACATCAACAAAACTTTTAAACTCTTTTTGGAGGAGCCCTGACAGTAAAACCAGCTTCAGTTCCCAGCTTTTCATTTGATTTCCTATGCAGGCTGTGACAAAATATAGAATTGGGAGCCAGTGGAGGCAAAGATGATTCTAGAAGAATTAAGGTGTCTGTAATATTACCCGACAGTGTCTGTCAGAGCTGAAGGTAACCCTTTGATATTCATGAAGCATTTTATATTTTAATTAGACCATGCCAACTTTGATCTTCTGTTATCACAGAACTGTTGCTTTTTTACTTCAAAACTAGCACCTTTCTTCTGTTTCCTTTTAACAGTGATGTTGATTATTTCTAATTTAATTAAAAATTAATTTGCCATTCTACCACTGGGAATGTTAACATTATTGTTATCATTTTCAGAAATAGTTTGATTGAACTAAAAAGTGACTGAATTTCAAAAAAATCTCAAATTGACAACATTTTCAAACTAATATTTAAACAGGTTCCACTTTATTGCATTTTTCTAATTTCTCCCTGTATCTACTAAAGGAGAGAACAACTTCTCATCTATTTTTAAACTTTTCCTTCAGGTGTTAGATTTAATCAGGTTTAAATCATATAACAGAGATCAAATAAAAACATGTGTTTGAACTCAAAGCTTTAGAAAACTTGACAGTAGTTTTGCCAGCTGAACTAACCATAGCATCAGAAGCCTCTACAAAAGTAGGAACTTATCCTTTCATATACACCAGTAATACAATATCTAGCTAGGGAAATTAGTCTTGAGATGTCTTTCCCTATGATGGTGCTTGGTAATAACCTCATCTCTGGATGGCTGGCCACATACAGAACAGGTTCATGGTTTCCCTGGTGACAATCAGAGAAGCTCTCAGAACTTGCTGGCAGGCTCCAGAGACTGCTTGGAAAGCCTGCAGTTATTGAACAGCTATCTTTTGATGCAAACACACAGTGATGGGCTGAACAAGGTTAAATGTTCACATATTTTATTTGTGAATTGTTCAGAACCATGGGTTTCTAGCTATAGGAATTGCTCCAAAAACCATACTAATCTATGTAATATGGATCACTGCTGTTAGCTTAAAATGGTACTTTTCATTACTTATGCTAACTTTTTTTAAATGAACCATCTCAAGGCTGTGACATAGAGCTCTGTATGGCTGGTTTCCATTCCTTTTCACTGCAAAAGGTCAAAGTAGCTCCTTACTAGTGGGACTTCAGTAGCTGCTTTAAAGGCTTTGTACACAAACCACAGAACCAACATGAGCCAAATGTAGGGTGTAATACAGAATAATTGAAAGAGGGAATGAAGACTGCTAAAACTGTTTAAAAGGCCAAGACCAAGATTGGCAAGGAATTGTTAACTTCATTTTCTTGCAAGTCTGTATTATAAAAAAAATTCTCTTGTCTTTAGGGCACAGAATAAAGAACAAAATTGACATCACTACTTAGATGTTGCACAGGTACTTGCTGTAAAGTCACAGGTGAAGATTTAAATGTGAGAATCCTGAATTCTACCTCAGGGTTTGGAAGAAAATGATGACCCTGATTCTTCTGTTCTGTGCCATCATCACCTAAGGCCCATTTCACACCCTACCCTTCAAATCTGCTCCCATTGTGCCACTTAGTGCTGGGACCCAGAGCAGAGAAGGGAGCTGTCTCCAATCCTCCGCAACTCCTGACTTTATATGCAGCCTCTACAGGCAGCCTCTGCCATCCTCTGCAGTTCCTCTGACTTTTTGATGAAAGAGGGAATAGTTTGGGCACCTCATTGCAGCTAAAATTCCCTTCCTCAAAGGTGAATTATTGTAGATATAGTTTTTAAAACCCACAGTGGTGCCAAATAAACACCTGGAATACCACAGGTCAGATTTCAAAAAGAAAACAAGCACAACCTCCTACAAAAGGATTGCACAACATTATTGGTACATTGTGTGCTAATGCTGGATCTTAACACAAAGAAATTACGTGAGTTCTGTAATGTAGACAAGTGTGCTTTTCACTAATCTTGGAAAGGTTTCTATGACTTTGGCTACTAAATGAAAAGTAAAACTAGTAGGTTATAAAGTCAGTTGAGCAAAAGCAAGAACGTTGCCTGGAAGATACCAGCTGGTGACAAGCTATCACTGCTTGGCCATGACAGGCCATGTTTTTAAGATTTACAAACTTCAAAGAGACTTCTAAATACATCAAACAATGGATCTAATATAAGCATCTGCTGTTTCTAAATATACTGATTTCTTCCTTGAAGCTGAAGGAAATTATGAGAAAGGGATAGTGATGTTTTTCAATCAGGAGCATTCACATTTGTTAGCTCTCTTTTTAGAAGAGTAATTGAGCAGGAACATCTTCCTGTGCTTTTATGTAGAGCGAACCTCAGTACATTCATTATTTCCTTGGCAGTCATTGTAATAACTCTGCTAGACACTAAGAAGGTGTAAACTCTCCCTGGGCAGTCCATTCCCTGACGTGATAGGATTGTTGCTGTGTTATGCCCTTCATTATGTGTTTTGCACATTGTGCAGGTGTATGAGAGGCATTGCATTCCTAGCTGATGGTGACTCACAGGTGCAGGGCTTGGAGGCCCTCATGTTCTGTAGGTGTTGACATGCTATTTTCTTTCCAAACTAGCAAACTTGAGAGGAAGACAGTTGGCTGCAGTTTAAAGACAGGAATTGATCTCAGCTCTGAACAGAGTTAGCAGAGGACAGATCACTCCTTCCTTTTGAAGTGGACAGTGCCTTTAAGAGAGGAGCTGTAGTGACGTAAATTAAGCAACCTTCAAGTGTGGAGCAGCACTGACTTCTGGCTAGCAGGTAATGACAAACCCTCATTTTGGGCAGCAAATGCCTTGGCATTTACAATGGAAGAAAAGCTATTTCAATGATAGGAAAAGTGTGTTTTGCCTGTGCAGTGGCCAGTGTAAATGCTGAGTTGTTCACTGAACTTATCTGTACTGCCCACGTATTCCCTCTGCAGCTCTTTCCATGTAATCCTTTTCCCTCTGTGCATGTATCCATGTCACCAATTTAAAGAGATGCCTCTGCTTTTGTGACAGAGAGCGCAGCACTCTCAACTGGACAAGGATGTGCGAACACAAATTTCACAAGAGTCAGATATCGAGAACCGAAATATTTCAGTTACGTTCACAACAGCCGTCAAAGAGCAGTTGCAACTCTAACTACAGAAGTCCAGTATTATTTCCCCCGCAGAGCATCGCGCCGGGTACCGCTCCCGTTGGGCTCTCGGGGGCGCCCGCGCTCCGCGGCCGGGCGGTGTCGCTGCGCGGATCCTGCGGGATCCGCCGGCCCGGGCGCGGAGGGTGAGCCGCGATTTGAGCACATCGGCTCCGTGTTTCTAGAGCAAACATGGCCTGATTTCTGGGCCGACATCCCTGACAGTCTAGCTCACTTCATCAAACAGTTTTCCCAGGAATTTTGCGTCTAACTTTGTTGACCTAAATAATAAATGATCACTAAATTTATTTATTTTAGTTAATAAATGTCCCATGAAAAATATTTGATCTATTTAAGCCTTTGTGTGCGAGATTCTTTTCCATCTTTAAAACCATTAGAAAATATTTCATTGCCCAGCTCAAGATATGAAACTTCTGCTTACTAGAAAATATTGTCCAGAAATGAAAATACAGCCCTTGATGTGCCAACACTTTGTTTTTTTTTAACTTCTAGAGCAGCAGCTAAGACTTCAAGTGAGAACACTTGGTCAGAAGTACCACAGGCCTAAAAAGTGTCTAGATACACACAGAGCAAGAAATAGATTATGTATAAATCTTGCTGTTCACAGAAAAAATATTTTGGAAATGTTGCTGACATTGTGATATAGCCGAGGTTAACAGTGTATTGGATGTCACTAGGCTGTTTTATTTTCCACTGCAGCACCTACCATCTTAAATACCTCTGGGATAAATAAGGATCAGTGTTACTTTAGCAAATTAAAGTCATGGTTCCACTATCTTTACCAATTCAACAGAGATGTCCCTTTTTCCTTCTTATTCTCCAGGGTAGGTGGCTCTGAAACACCCAGAAGCACAGTTTCGTCTTAGGATCTGTGTCTAAATACAGTTTTTCAAAAGTCTGCATCAATTGTGTGTGACCCAAATCTTTTGGCCCTGTGTAAGGATGTGAGGTTGGAACCCAACCCTCTTCCATCCCTCCTGGACCATGCCTTTTGTAACAACTTAGTCTTTGTTGCTAAATGTAGTCTTATATTTTTCTTGTTATTATTCCTATGACTGTATTCAAACAGGAAGATAATGCATTTCTCCCACACACCACTGAGGTGGTCCATACAGTGGTAAATGTATTGTACTATTTCAACTTAAACCTAACATGTGAATGGGGCGTCACAGATCTGAAGATGTGGTTTGTAACTGTAACTAGTTAACATTAAGGTGAAAGAATTGCTTGAAAAGACTCCCTGCCACCTGTGTTTGAGTGTGTATTTGCATCTTTCAGTTACCTTTTTTTTCACTGAGAAATATTTTCTATAGGCAGATGGCAGATTTTAGCTGGAGATATAAGTCAGAATTTAGCCTTAGCAACACTGACTCAAATGAAAACTTGGCTAGACTGCTGGAGTACTCCAATTTCATGGCTGGGCTTCGTGAACAAAGATTTGGGAAAGGTCTCTACCCACGTTTGTCACAAGCGCACTGGTGGCTAAAAAGGCC